AAGAACCTAGAAGACTTGGATTTCGCCGATGACTTATGCCTAATGTCACATAAACTTGAAGATCTGCAGGCAAAAACTAACAAGTTGACAGAAGAGGCGAAGACGGGACTTCAGGTGAATATAGAGAAGACAGAAGTGATGAAGATACCGCACCACCACCATCAACAACAACAACAAACTCCAATCACCGTCAACGGGAGAAACTTGAAGGAAGTAACCTCCTTCACTTATCTAGGAAGCACTGTTTCAACTACAGGCGGGACGGACGAGGACGTCAAAGTCAGAATCGGAAAAGCAAGACAGGCGTTCATTAGCCTGAAACCAGTGTGGAGATCTTCTGCACTCAGCATGCGGAACAAGATACGGATTTTCAACACCAACGTCAAGTCAGTGCTCTTGTATGGTTCAGAGACTTGGCGCGTCACGAAAGGCATTTCCAATAAACTACAGACATTCATCAACAACTGCTTACGCTCGCTACTGAAGATCAGATGGCCAGAAAAAATAAGCAACAAGGAACTCTGGGAACGAACCAACCAAGAACCTATCACGCAACAAATATGCAGGAAGAAGTGGAGATGGATTGGCATGCACTGAGAAGGCCGACTGAGGACATCACGCGTCAGGCCCTCGAGTGGAATCCCATGGGAAGCGACGAGTTGGACGTCCGAGGGTGACATGGAGGAGGTCGTGCGAGGAGGAAATGAGAGGTTGTGGGCTGTCGTGGAACCAGGTTCAAAAGATCTCAGAGAACAGAGTGGAGTGGAGACGTGCTAGTGAAGCCCTATGTTCCACTAGGAACCCAAGGGACTAATAATAATAATAATAATAATAACCACTGAAAACAAACTTCACATGGTTACGTGTCAAATGAGCATAGTGCACAAACACTTCAGTAAGTATAACATGGTATTGAACCAATCTCTTGTCAAATCAACGTTCTGATGCAAGGTGAATATGCCAAACTAAGAGACGAATTTATGACTGTAGAGAAACGTACTCTTTCTGTCAAACTGTGATTGGAAATTTCCCTTGAAACCGGAGGAAACGTGTACCTGCTGAATTTTACACAGGATACCGTTAGTGACAGAGCAAGTTGTGACTAAGTAAAAATTGGTGTACTGCACAGAAAACCAGCGTTCATTTGTCACTCAGTCCAAGTAAACAACGTGAAACCTAGAAAATTTCATACAAAGATAACCAACCACCTACAAGTCTGTTGCTGTATGCCTCTACTATTTTCAGCTTCAAATACATATGCACTTGATAATTCGTGAGTTGCTTAAGTGGAAGTTGACCCCGTCACTTTTATACCAGACTATATGCATGTATGTCACCCCATATTTACGTAATCCATATGCTCACCCATCTTTAGGAAATCATCTGAAGTCCACACTGATATCCTCATATAGACGGAAATATAGACACCTTCGTCTAAATGCTAATCTGCACCTCGAATTATGATTTGACAAGATCCTACATCAACTTAAACATACATGTCATGTAATTCATGAAGACATCTTCTACCTAACATAACTGGTACTCACCGACTGTCCGTCTAACCGTGTAATTTTCAGTTGGCTATCGTGAAAACACTTGGTAAAGGCGGACTGAATATTGTAAGATTGACTTATTCGACAATCTCACAGAAAATAAAATATCCTCAACCAGACCGATGACTTGCTTGTTCCTACCTGCAATCCAACCCAAAAAGTGTGACATCGTCATACATCTTAAATAATATCAGTATGAATGATTACAGCAACCCACCCCAACCACTCTCCACTCCACCTCACCTCACCTCACCTCACCTCACCTTTCTTCTTCACACTACAATAAACGATGACTTCTAGTGACAGGGCTTCACCACCTCCTCTCACAACCTTGTCAGTGCGTCAATTACTTGCACGAATTACTCAATTCAATCAACCTGAAAAATAACTGTGACTATCTGAGAGACTTGCTCAACACTGTATCTCATGTCACTCACATACACTCAAGTTCCTTCTAGATTGATAGGTGGGTGCGTGGGTGGATTTGTGGGGTACTTTCAATGTCCGCTTCACACAGACTGATTGGTGATTAACCACAAAATAGTCACAATATAGCCTACTTCAAGTGCTTTTCACACCACTTATCCGGTCATTATGTTAGGTCTCCACTGCGAGGGGATCATTGAAACTCCATCTTGCTGACAGCTAGTCCAACAACCGAATCTGACACTCCAGTCTTCCACCTACCTACCAATCTCAAATCCACAATCATGTTCAAACTGGACCAGATGATCACCAGTCACCTCTTCATATGTTGTCGATTGTGACAATCAAAGTGACGATCATGTGTCATAAATTCAGCTACGATTATTAGTTTCCGGCATTATCTTAAACCGTTCAGACTCACCTCGACAGTATTTATGTGTACAAATTGGATTACTTCAACAAAATTGACGAACATATCCAAACAGGACCATATGAAGAAATCAAGAAGCCCTTAGATATGGTCATGAATAAAATTAGGAAATCTACAGCCGATTTGATACACCGACTAAAGCCATTCCTAGGTGAGTCTAAACGGTTCAGTTTAATGCGTAAAATTAATAATCCTAGCACAATTTACGACACTATTAAGGTACATAAACCAGGTTATCTCATTAGACCCATAGTTGACTTAAGAGATACGCCAACATATGAACTCATTGAGAGATAAGGTTTATCGGCTGACTTAAGGATCCGATAGAACCAATTAAGCAAAATAGTATAATCTATCAAATACCATGTAATGATTGAGAGTTAGGTCAAGTATATAGGTCAAAATAGTCGGTCGGTCGGTCGGTCAGTCGGGGTCAGTTAAAATGGCCGAACGTTGTAGTTCAGCTATGTATAGAATGATAAGGTGAACAAGATGAATAATGTAGAAAAACTCAGTTATTGCAATGGAAGCATTAACACACAACCACACAGTAGAATGGGTGGGATAAAGCCACTGTACTCAAGTCCAATATAATTAGGTGGAGAGAGGGAGAGAGAGAGAGATTGATTACTGAATCTTTGTTCATCGAATCAACACTCAGGCAACACATGTAATAGAAATGACGCAACAACCATCTATTCTAGAGATATGCAAAATTTAGCTACCAATAAAAACGACTCATATAAAGTGACGTAACTATGAGAATGAAGTGTGGAAATTGGTGTGTGATTACACATTGATATGATAATGAGGAATGGGAATTTATGCTCGAAACGTCATCGAGTAGATATATAATACTAGATCACTCATTGTGTGTTGTAAATCAAATAAAGGAATCTAATATGGAACCGTTTGTCGAATACCTGACGACAGTAAACACCACTCCAACTTACTGCTGAACTGCACAGTGTCTTGGAAAAAATGGATATGGTGTATAGATAACGTATTACTGATCGTTCTGGTTCCCCGATACCAGCTAGCAGAGTGGTATGTTTGTCTAGGCATTAGGTGCTAAAGTCGTCGACTTTCAGTTCTCAGTACGATATACGTGAAATAAGAAACCAGTTATGAGATACATGTCAGACCCAATGAAACTGATAGCATGGGGTTTTTGGGTTATTTAGTAGTGTGCTGCGTTGATCCGCTGTAGATACTACTAACTGTTAGTCGAGACAAAAATGGAGGATGACTCCGTGGGAACTGATAGATGACATGGGGATCAGAAGTTGTCAGATTACAAATGGAATCACAGATAATGAATTTATTTGTGTGATGATTGCAGGAAATCACCAAGTCCCTTTACCAGAGATATTATGCAATTACTGGACCGATGTATCGTTGAAAGTGGTGATACTGAGGCTACGAAAACTAGAGGTAGTTGTATCGTGAAACTGCTGGTCACAACAAGGCAAGATGACCGGAGGTGATTATTTTTGATCAACCATTCCATCCATCTCATACCTTCCCACTGGAGATTCACATGTGGCACAAGACACCATTGTGTAATACTGGATGCTTATCCATTATTAATTTATGTGTTTATTCCAGAAGCCTAATGGTTATTTGAAGACCAACAACAGTAGCGATGACGCCTGCTTTATTGGTATAGGTGCAATGTATGCAGATTGTTGGAGGGGACATCCACACATGCATCCATGAAAGCAGTTGGCATTTGGAGATTGTTAGTAACTATCGAACTGGATAAGATTCAGTGAGTTATCTTTTTTCCATTCCCCACAAACTTCCTCTTTATTTCGAAAATTGCTACTTCACATAGTCTATAAGAATCTTTTCCATCCATCCATCCATCCAGATCAACATAGGACCAGGCATTACTGCGTAACGGTCCCACTTGCCACACTTCATATCAGTCAGTACATCAAGTAAAAAGGCAGTGAGGCGCAAAATGAAGATAAGAGAATGCAGTCAAAAGAAATATAGAGTGTGAAAAGAGAGAAACGGAGAATGAGAAAGTGGTGGGATTCGGTATAGCACCGTTAAGATGAGGATAATATGTGTGGGGATACATCTGCACCACTGACATTGGTTCTGAGCCATATGATCACCTAGAGTCTCCAACCACTGGTTCCCCTCGTCCCGAGGACCCCAACCACCTAGTCTGCATCTCCCCACATGGCTCAAACCAACAGTCAGAGACTTCATACTTTGGTGCCATCCTTTAGAAGTATCTGTCACAATTCAACGCAGTCAGTTCACTTCTCTCTGTGCAGTAGATCCACTTAGGAGGATAGTCAAGCCCAACAGTCAACATTATCATGACGGGCAAATTTGCGTATCCTCAGTATACTTACATACAAATAGATAACATATCAAATTTATCAGGACTAGTGGAAAATGCATTGAATTGACCAGAGTATCATAGTACTATTGAGAAAGATGAATAAACACCATAACAAATGTATTGATAAAAACAAATACGTCATATGATATTAACATGGATTAAGTAAACCAATCATTTATCTAGAATGTGGAAAGTTCTAATTGGTCAAGAACACTTATTGATCGGCCATCTCTATTATGCTAGACACGCAGTTTCGCTTGAACAATATGTGAATTCGGCAGTTTACGTGAAACACAAGCTTTTTGCGTTGGTATCCTACCTTATCCGGTGAGTATTTACTAGTTTAAATGTGCGATACTTCATATTGTTTTTAAAATGTATCTGAGCAAATTCGCCTTTCTTGAAGAATTTGAATAACTCTATGGGAACCACTGTCACAGTAAACATGGTATTCCACTGTCTCCTCTTCAACTGATGCCGTACTATTACTCTACAACTGATTAAATAAGTGGAAACATCCTGGCCGCAAAACTCAAGGGCCCTTGGATTCGATCATGAGTCCTGATGGCTGACGAGTCCCATCCTGTGACGAAACGCTTGTCACGTATACCCAGGTTTCCAATGGTTTACTGACTGATGAATACCAACTTGGAATATAGGAGAGTGACAGATATAGGAACTTGAAATCCATTAGACGACAGTAAGGAAGATTGAAGTGTATATTCGGGATAAAAAAGTTTAATTCCTGGGGGGTTATGTATGTATTTCGCACGAATATTCTAGAATGACTGCTAGGGAAATCGGTCACAAAACTTACCAAGGAGGTTATCATGAGCGTGATACGAAATAGCAATACAGTGAAATTGAGTAAGCATCAGCAAGTTGTATTGCCTGTAGCATTTCAGTGCAGAACATTAGTAATTACTTCAGCTGGATTTTACTTATGCAGATCCCATCTGAGCACTGGTTAGTGACGTTTGTCGTTTCTCCAAATAGGATGCTTGTCATTAGAAAGGCGGTATCACCAGTGAACCACTGAGTTGTGCAATGTATTTGAGTGGTCAAGCTTCTGTGCGAAAACGGAATATTTTTCTCAAATTTTAATCGAACCATTAACTTCTAATGTATTCCAGCTTACTTCCAAAGTTCTAGTTGGTCGAGAAAGGTTATTGTCTGGTTATACTGCTACTACGGATCACGTAGTCAATTTTACATGAATCGATGTGTGCAAGTGCCAAGTTGGTCAGCAGCCTACCTGTTTGCAAGCACTGATAACACTAGACAAATAAGGAGATACATTCAGATAGTTATAAAATGCTGAGAACAGCAATATATGTTAATCAGTTTGCAGAAGAGAATTAGTTTTTGGGAAGGCGTTTGATTTATCTGGCTATATATGGCTGGACTCGAAGATATGTAGCCGTTAATTAGTGACGGTCGTATGGCAAATACCTACCCACTGGTGCAGACCTTTCAGTACTGAAAGCACCTGCTGACACCACTTTACACATAACGTTTTTACCACTTTCAGCCTAGTAGTAATTTAGTAATAGAAAGGTGCACCACATCTGTGTACTAGTATTAGTAATGAATACGCGCATAACTATGAGGAAGGAAATATGCATTCATCTCATTCCTGCTGATAACATGGGGTAACAGGAATATCGGATGTGTTTTATATAGACTAGAGTTTAAGAATTTCAAGAAAGACGAGCAGAGCAGGTACGGTGGCTGTAAAACTACATTGAACCATGTGGCTGCAAAATATTTTGTACATTACCACACTGAACAGCAGTTATTGTGTGAAATGTTAGAGGAAGTTGCGTATCAGTGAAGAGACCTCACGCGTTGTCAGATTAGGTTAATGCATCTAACGCTGAAGTAGTTAGTTACAGGACTGAACTAGGTGAGCTGTCGATTATTTTGAAGCATGTAGACGAACTGGTTGTCGGCAGTTATTCAGCAAATGATTAGAATAAACTGCTGGGCAACTTCAGCATCTACAAAGTCTTTGAATGCCAATAGTTTTGCATAACTAACGCTCGCGTCTATCATAATAATTACTGACCTGGAGTGAGTTGAAACAATCCCACTGTAGTTTTGTGATTCATACTGAAGAGCTTCACACTTATGAAAACTGGATAAATGTTGAAGAGTCATGCCCACTGTCACTGACACATGGTTAATGGTCAGTGATTCCAGAGATCGAGCGAGGATCGAGTGGCTGTCCATAACTATTGTTCATATCGAACACACTCATATAGACATCACTGAGCATGAATTGGTAAACATGTAGCTGCCAAAGTGACTGGAATCACCTCATTATCCGTTGATGTATGGAGACGTGTTCACATTCAGACTGAAACTGATGGTCGCTCTATGAATAATAACACGATATATGTCCTCCTGAATCAAGACGTGTCAGCTAGCTAAGTAACGTGTGAACTTCAGCAATTGTTGACTGTGGAGACAACTCATTCCATTTAACCATATTGCTCTTGTCTGAATGGAACTAAAGAGGAATTTATCACCAATAAGTGTGAATTGGATTGATATTATATCAATGCAGATTGTTAACTTGCCTCCCTCCATTCAGATACACACTAGCTAGCGTATGCAAATTATCAGTTAACCTAAGCCTACCTGGTTTGTTCCCGATTGCTAACTGGATACTTTGTTCCAGAGGCTATCGTGTCTTTCTATGCATTAACTTCACCATAAAGTCATCAATCAGAATTTCACTGTGAGTCGTTCTAATGGTTGTTTCTTTGACCTTTCAGTTGCTTATCTTTCTTCACACTGGTTGATAGATTCGGTCCACGTTTATACACAAGATGAATCCAGGTTGATCTGAGTTTCATACCCATAGAAATCTCTTAACACTCTAAGTAGTTTCTTTTCAAAAAAATATCCATGTTTTTTAAAATCGAATTCATTTTCACAGCTGTCCACCTGATTTAGTCTTCGTGAGCAAGTGTCGAACTGTTTATCTGTGAAGTAATGTTCATGTAGAGAGGAATGGAGTGATCGAAATCATTGTTCAGTCTAATTTTTGTCACAGCTGATGTAGTTGCTGGTGTAAATGATATTCAATTTGCTTTTTTTGGTTGTTGCATCCACTTTTCAAAAGTCATTACACAACTGATTTTGTGTTTTGTTTGATTGTTGCTATCGTATTTGAGACTTTGACCCGTTATATGTGTGATAGCTAACCAGCTTCACACGTGCGTACTCGATGCCCATGAATTGAGCATATCATATCATATCAGCGAAGTCAGAGGATATATGTGTAAGCTCGATTAGTGTGTCAGCGCTGAAATTGAATTGCAAGAGAGACACTGTGCATCGTAGTCCCTAACGATTCGAAGATTTCACATAGGATAGCATAAAGTTAAGCATAACGAAAACATAACTTACCAGCAATGAAACCTTCCGTAAAGTGATATATTTGTTCGACACCATGTCCAGTGACAAATACTGTGGTATAATCTATAGATTGTTGGAGTTTTATGTCTTTCCGAGGTCGAAGTGGAGAGAAATCACTAGCCGCCGACAAGAATGCCCGTGTTCCATGAGTTTGTGGAGGCTGAATATATTTGGTTGTTGCTTTGATGACAAGACCGGTAGCTTGGGTGTTCCTATCTGCAATCCCACTCCAAACATGTGAAATGATCATGCATCATAAATAGTATCAATATGAATGATTATAGCAACCCACCCCAACCCCTCTCCACTCCACTCCACTCCACTCCACCCCACTCCACCCACCCCACCCACCCACCCCACCTCACCTCACCTCACCTCACTTCACCTCACCTTTCTTCTTCACACTACAATAAACGATGACTTCTAGTGACAGGGCTTCACCACTTCCTCTCACAACCTTGTCAGTGCGTCAATTACTTGCACGAATTACTCAATTCAATCAACCTGAAAAACAACTGTGACTATCTGAGAGGACTTGCTCAACACTGTATCTCATGTCACTCACATACACTCAAGTTCCTTCTAGATTGACAGGTGGGTGCGTGGGTGGATTTGTGGGGTACTTTCAATGTCCGCTTCACACAGACTGATTGGTGATTAACCACAAAATAGTCACAATATAGCCTACTTCAAATGCTTTTCACACCACTTATCCGGTCATTATGTTAGGTCTCCACTGCGAGGGGATCATTGAAACTCCGTCTTGCTGACAGCTAGTCCAACAACCGAATCTGACACTCCAGTCTTCCACCTACCTACCAATCTCAAATCCACAATCATGTTCAAACTGGACCAGATGATCACCAGTCACCTCTTCATATGTTGTCGATTGTGACAATCAAAGTGACGATCATGTGGAGAACATGATGTTTGATTCGAACAAATTGTCAGGAATCAGGACACCTCATTCATTCAGAGAGACACACCTACTGGTCTATCCCCTTGCATCTCTACTGTCTTCAGCAACAATCACTTATGCAATTGCCAGTTCCGTCATCTTGTAAGCCAATGTCGACTGAGTCCTATTTAAGCACACACACACACACAACTTCACGCAAGTCATTCGATATTTACACACTCCACAAACTCACCCCTCATTGCCAAGTCGTCTCTAACCCATACTGATCTCATGATACACACAAAGATGTGGCCATCTTCATCAACATGAATCTAAACCCATAGGTTCTCATTTGTCAACAGTCTACATCAACTCCACTATACACATCACATGATTCAAGGAGTCGTCTTCTGACTCACATAACTAGTATTCACCTACTGTCTCTTTCACCACATACTCTCCTCTTAGCTAGCATGAAATTGTTGGCTACTGTGGACTTACTGTCTCATGATACATGATGCACTCATTTGTCAAATATTCAAAGTAACTGAACCATACTCAAGTGGATCAATGATACCGTTCATTTCTCTCCACTTCCAAATGATTTCTGCAGATATTATTGAGAATACTATGCATTGTGGATGAGATTCATGTAAAGTTTCCTTCCACACAATGATGATTTTTTATCATGGTAATATATGGAGCAGATTTACTGTCTATGATCAACAACATCAACAATTGGAATTTTCTTGAACTCAACTTAATTTACTAAGGAAATAGAGAATTGCCTATGATGAACTGTGAAATCAAGAAAACAGTAGAAACCAGTTTTAAAAACAAACATATGCGGAAATGCGATACATCCTGATAGATTTCTGAATTATCACTCAAACCACCCCCTGATCATAGTAATACCAGTGTTAATACAACGTCTTTGAAACAGAATACGTAGGTTATCAACATCCTGTGATGAACATGAAACGCAGATGAATGTCTTCTTCAACGTGTTTTACAATAATCATTATTCGTAACATGTAGTAAAAGATCAGAGTAAATAAATATATATTTTATTATCATTTTGACTATCTGGCATAGCCAGCCGTGGGTGATGATTGAAGGTGAAAAGAAAGTCTTGATAGCTGCCAGTGGTCATTAATTCAAGTCCGATAGCAATCCAAACTATCATTTCATTCTCAATCATCACTCAGTATAAATACTAGTCTGCCAAACCATAGCCATCTCAGATAGTCAGAATGACAATCAATATTATGCTCCTCCTCACCACTTCAGTTAGATTTTGATTGGAGTGAGAAGTCCTGACTAGGTAGACAGTGTGAGTGTGAACAATCGTAAGTAACGTGTAGCTCAGGTTGTAGAGCATCACACCGGAAACCTGTTGGTCGCTGGTCTGAATCCCACCGATATCAAAACTTTCATTTCACCTTCAATCATCACCCAGTATTAAATATTATTTTTCTCATATCATGAATTTAGCATGAGAGAAACTGGTTCACAAACGTCGTCATCATCATCAGTTTTCAATGATGACTTTTTTATCATGGTAACATTATAATTATTCCCTTGGGTTCCTAGTGGAACATAGGGCTTCAGTAGCACGTCTCCAGTGAACTCTGTTCTCTGAGATCTTTTCAACCTGGTTCCACGACAGCCCACAAGCTCTCATTTCCTCCTCACACGATCTCCTCCATGTCACCCTCACCTCGGACGTCCAACTCGTCGCTTCCCATGGGGATTCCACTCGAGCAACTGGCCTGACGCGTGATGTCCCCAGTCGGCCTTCTCAGTGCATGCCCAATCCATCTCCACTTCCTCTGCATATTTGTTGAGCGATAGGTTCTTGGTTGGTTCGTTCCCAGAGCTCCTTGTTGCTTATTCTTTTCTGGCCATCTGATCTTCAGTAGCGAGCCAGCGTAAGCAGTTGTTGATGAATGTCTGTAGTTTATTGGAAATCACTTTCGTGACGCGCCAAGTCTCTGAACCATACAGAAGCACTGACTTGACTGGGTTGGTGTTGAAAATCCGTACCTTGTTCCACATGCTGAGTGCAGAAGATCTCCACACTGGTTTCAGGCTAATGAACGCCTGTCTTGCTTTTCCGATTCTGACTGGCTTTGACGTCCTCGTCCGTGCCGCCTGTAGTTGAAACAGTGCTTCCTAGATAAGTGAAGGAGGTTACTTCCTTCAAGTTTCTCCCGTTGACGGTGATTGGAGTTTGTTGTTGTTGTTGATGGTGGTGGTGCGGTATCTTCATCACTTCTGTCTTCTCTATGTTCACCTGAAGTCCCGTCTTCGCTGCCTTGCCTCTTCTGTCAACTTGTTAGTTTTTGCCTGCAGATCTTCAAGTTTATGTGACATTAGGCATAAGTCATCGGCGAAATCCAAGTCTTCTAGGTTCTTTTCCGCGTCCAGTGTATCCCCCTCTTCTCGCTGCCTACTGTTTGCTGCATGATCCAGTCGACCACAACACAATCAGGAATATCATGGGGGATAGAAGGCAACCTTGTTTCACTCCTGTCTTCACTTCACTGCAAAAGCATCACTGAGCTTCCCATTGTGAATTACTTGGCATGTGGCATCTTCATATGATTGTTGAATGAGGCGGATAAAGATTTGCGGTATTCGTAGTATTGAAGCAGTTTCCAAATTACCTCTCGGTCGACGCTGTCAAAGGCCTTCTGAAAGTCGATAAAGTTGAGGTAGAGGACTGATTGTTATTCTATGCTCTGTTCTATGATGATGCGAAGCGTTGCAATTTGGTCGGCACATGATTTGTACTTCCTGAATCCAGCCTGCCTGTTCCGGTCGTAGTTTTGAATCCAGTGCATCCTTAAGCCTCTCCAGGATGATGCGGCTTAATATTTTGCTTGGGGTGGTAACATATAAAGCAAATTACTACGCGTGATATAACTAATAATCTGAATATTTTTACTGTCTCACTAAGCATTAGGTGTCACATAAACAGTCTCTTGTTAATGTTCGTTATTGTGTTTCTTGAAAATGATGTTCCTAATTATTGACGGTTGTGTTCAATCAACTTTGTTGCATATGTTTGGGTGACATGTGTAGATATTGATTCTGATACTATCCAGGTACTTTTCAACGCATATTCATAAACATGAGAGTTAACTTGTGAGCTGCATTTTACTTAATTACTGGATTCTTTTTCGTTTCTTGTAGAAATCATGACTAATGAAGACAATGAGTTGGATATTGACAGTCTAGCCGATATTATACGTGAAAGTTGTCATCCAAAGAATTTATATTTCACACTGACTGATCCTCCAGATACCTTCATTCCTGAGTTTGCTGAACTCACTCTGGTGCTAGACAAACGCTATTTTCCAGTATCTGCTGTAATAGATGAGAGATTATTGAGAGGAGAATGGTGCAATGTAGCTGCAGGGGCTGCAGCCTATGCATACAAAAGTATAGGAAGTGGAATGTCAGAGCCTGTAAGAAAGTGGCTGGCCAATGCCGCTTGTTGTGCAATCTTGTTCTCTTTGATCGGGGAAGTGACAAAGGAGAAGAAATCTCATCGTCCTTCAGTAGTTGATCATCGACCCGGAACCAGTGGTGACGATACTGACGATGATGTTGATAGTGATGGTGTTGTTCATGGTCATATCAACTCTATTGAATATGACAACGAAGATGTTGAGTCCAGTACAAGTGAGCAAAGCATCAATGAAGATACCATTCCACCGATTCCAGATGAAACTGATGGAAACTGGATTTACGGGATATGGACTAAGCATAATATGGCCAGTATTGATGAAATGAAGTCAGTCCTACGGCCTGAAATGATGAATGACTGTGTCAAAGTGATGATTGCATCGGTGATCTGCTTCTTTCAAGAGGGTTGTTACATTCCGCATAGAAGGAATAACTACGCTATGCAAGTCATCAAAAGTAACCTGATGAATAGACATGGAATAGTAGATGAGTGTGATAAACTCTTCGTTATGAGCACAACTGGTGGTTGGATATCGAAGGTGAATATACTGACTTTAATAATGAAACAGCGTCAGTTGAGCAGTGAACTGCGCTCAGTGAACAGTCTTGGTTTGGGCACAGTATATATGAATTCACGTTTGATGAACTCATTCAATGGTTTACCCAGTGGATGGACACATGTATATCTAGTGGACTGTATTGCTGATAAATTAGTTCGATCGAAGTGTATCAGGTATTTTGATGACTACAAAGCTTTAATATCACACAAAAAGTTGTGGCGTAAATTGACTGATAAGCCAATATTCTACCATACAGAGAATCATCTGCTGACTGGGAAGAAATGTGATGTGGGTAAGATAGATTCTCCCTGTTTGTATGGTCGGTTGATCACATTTCTTAAGTATGCAGATGCTGATAGTGAGTTGTTTGCATATCCTCAGCTGAAGGTCTGTGGGAAGACACGTGAAGAGGAGTATGAAGACTACTGTGATAGATGGAATTCAATAGTGAAGATCATCTACTTAAAGGATGTTTCTTCTGATGTGTCACACTCGGATGAATTAGATGATAAACTGAAACAACTTGGCATTGTATATGAATGTGATGAGTATCTCCTTCGTGATTGCCTTCGAGTTTACGGTGTTACTGATAAGTGAGCTGCATCAATGTGACATTTCTCCCAAAATATTGCTATTTTTTTCCATTATTTTTCGAAATAAATATGACAGAAATGGATTTCAGTCAATAAAGTGTTACTGTTGCCTTGAACTTCATCATAAGTCAATGATGGAAGCCTGAAATCAAATGAGTCATTGACTGGTGTTTTGTAAGTTGTTAGGTAATGTGGACCAGCTGACTGAGGTTGATGAGATGCTGGAATGCTGCGGTGGACGGAAGCCTATTGCCAACTTTGGTAGTCTACTCTTGAGAGAAGTGAGTGTTATCCTCGACTTATCACTTCATCTCTAATCTGTCTGTAGACAACTGACTGTTCCACTGCAATCAGCTGGTGTTCCTCTTAGTGCATTGACGTGGTTCTGAGGATTTGATTGACCAGTTACTACTAGACGGTATGATTCATAGTAGTATGTGTTTCCCTAAATACCTGATACTCATTTTGGCTTACGGTGAATCGTCTCAGAAATCCAGAAAGCTATGTTGATTGCACACTGTCGAATGGTGTCTGACCTGCATACAGTGGCACATGTCTGTTTCCAGTGTCACGTCTGACAGTCAGCATTGTTGATCAGCTGTTATCTTCCTGACTGAGAAATCAAACAAGATGATACACATCCATTTTTATAACTGTCTGACTCAAGCAACTTGAAATATGAAGAATCCTAGCGAAAGAATATCCACTGAGCATTCACAAATAGCTCGTACAGTCATTTTCAACCAGGTTGTTGGCGTCGTTGAATAGAGTGAGGGAGAGCAGATTTTTAAATAAACAGACGTGAGTTGTCATAGTAGCTAGTCTGTATTGCCTAATGTTTCCTGTACCTACATTTCACAACTGTGTGAGAGATGTTTCTCCTATAACTGTACAGCTCATTTTTGTCCATAGTTAGCTTTTTAAGAAACACAACCCGGTCAAATAAATTACTGACTCTTGGTCTGAGTAGACGAAATGGAGCTTATCTGTTTGATATCCTTGATATCCTGGAACTAAATGTTCTTCAGTTTGTGCTGAAGTAAGATTTGACAAGACAACCAGACTATTCGATGTTTAAGTGCTTGTTTATTTCCTGGTGGACAATAGACACGAGTGGGATAACTGTTAGCGAAACATCATCTCCCGTCCGTCTCTCAGTCTGAACTTATTTCCATGACAGATTATTCCTTTCCTAGATGAGTTCTTATTTCAGACACACCTTATAGCCAGGCACTTTCGATGAAGGAAGTAAACGTGTGAAGCAGTGCATCGACCTACTAGAAAATGAAATAACAATTTGTACTGTGTAGGTCCACCAGTGTTTGTGTTTACCAGCATATCTTTACTTCGTGATTCGGAATATCGAATGATGCTTAGAGTATCAAAAGGAGTGGTATTGTCGTCATCATGAACTTGACCACCAGTACACATGATCCATTAGATATTGAATCCTTCCAACGAGCATCATTACACAATCACCGACTCAATTGTATCAATGATGGATAAGTGTAGCATGTAACATGCAGGGATTAGTTGTTGGCACTCATCACCAATGACTGTCTGTCAACTTAAATAAAACGCTTATTCCTGCCTATCTCACTGCTGTAGTCATGAACCTCGCCATTAACGAATTGAAATCACTACTGTCTTCATGTGTCACTAAATTTTATGGATGAATTAGTAGACCAGTGTGATTTCTAAGACCTTAGTGAGTGTTGACCTCAGTCTAGCGATCAAGTTTGAGCTTATCAGTATCATGTAACTTAGCTACACCCACAATGATTACTAACTGGTGATTGGTAAGTGCAAGTATCCAGCTGATTTGGCAGGTTTTAATGCCATTGAATTTCTGTCTTCTCTATGTTTCACGCACTTGCAACCGAAGTGCTGAGGTCGACATAATACTATCCTACACAGAGAAATAGACTCAATTCTCAAAGTGGTTACATTTGTAAGTGCCACAATAGCTACATTCGACTTCACTATCATTCATGCTTGAACTAGTTAGAAGATACTAGTAAATCTGTGATCGTTTGGTGAATAACTAGCTTTATAGGGAAATAACAACATGAACCGTCTGCTTTGGATCATGTGAAAAGAGAAATCATGCCACAGGTTCCCTAATGCTGATATGTTTAGGGAAACGGTTGGTGTGAAAGATATTCCCAAGCACAGACTTCCAGAACCTTTGTTGTATTGGGTTCTCTGAGAGCTGGGTTGTTTAATCATCAAGCTTCCATCGTCTTTCTAGACAACATCATCAGTACTAACTTCATCATGAAGTGAGGTGTCAATATCTCTCCGTGAGTGACTTAGTAGCTTACCGTGCGTGACGAAGTGGTCTGTTGTTGGTTGTTTCCTTTGATTGTTGTGTCATTGACTGACTGTATAGATTTTCCTGTTTGCTGTTCCTCTGCCTCACCTCAGACCTTCGTAGATCAACTGTAAAACCAGGTGAGATAACTGTAGTCAACACAACATTGGACAAAGTGGTCGCCCTCTTCGCCTTCGTCTACATCAACACCAATTGGCTATTAAACGTCATCACGTCTCATCACTCATTTCAATGCACGTGGATAACAACTATGGACATGAATTCGATTTCGACAATGTAGAAAATCTTGGTCGGAGAGAGGAAACACAAAGAATATTGTGGAATTCCTAGAAGGTTGGCACTCAGGTCAGTCAGTCAGCAATCAATAGATGTATAGACATAGGCTCAATCTATCAATATAAGACTGAAACATGGTTGCTGAATAAAACGGAAAAAAGATGGGAGTTTAGACACTAGTGTCTACAGAATACCTTCACATTCAAACCCTTACTTAGACTTCAAATCGTCTTCCTAGTGAAACAGAAGATGAAACAAAACAAGAAACGAGATACATTGAAGACGCTTTAATCATCAACAATTACCTTCCTAAACTTATTGATAAGCTCCTTAGGAAAGGTAAGAAAAACATCACTAACACAGTTATTAATAGTATTAATAATAGTGGTAATGACAGCAACAATAATAGTAATAATGGTGTTGATAATAGTGGCGGCAATACTGTGAATAGAAAATTCAAAACCTCCACAGTATTACCATACAAAGAAGGCACAGCAGAAACACTACGTAGGATTCTTAATAAGACTGGCTGAGATTAGAGTGGCAATCAAAGCTAAAAATTCACTTCGAAATACGCTTTGTAGGTTAACACATCCTATTAACCCGATTAAGCAGAATAAGCTTAGTTTACCAAATCCCTTGCAACGATTGCGAGGTCAAGTACATAGGTGAAAGTAGTCGACCAGGGTCAATTAGGCTATCGGAACATAAAAAGGTAGCTAGGTCAAAATTGATAGATCCTAGTAGCGTAAGGAATTTAGAAAAAAGCTCAGCCATAGCTATGCATGCAATTACACACAACCATACAACAGAATGGATGGGACAGGGTGAAAATCCTTAAAACTAACATAAAAGGGTGGAGGGAAAGACCGATAACCGACTGGATCTTTGTTTATCGAATCAACACCTAACACATGCAACGATAGGAATGACTCAGCAACTGTTCCGGATATATGCAAAATCTTACTACCAATCTCACAAAGAGACAATGAAATTACGACTATATAAAGGATATCTCAAAGTTGTGTAGTTATCTTGATATGACGACTATGGACAACGTAAATAATGTCCGAAACGTAATCCAGTAAGGAATACTGTTCCTTCACTCTCTGATAAATCTAATAAATGAATAAAAATGGAATTCCAATCTGTCAACCAATGATAAACGACACAAAGGTCAGAGGTGAGGTGAAGCAGAGGAACAGCCAACAGGAAAATCTATACAGTCAGTCAATGACACAACAATCAAAGGAAACAACCAACAACAGACCACTTCGTCACGCACGGTAAGCTACTAAGTCACTCACGAAGAGATATTGACACCTCACTTCATGTTGAAATTAGTACTGATGATGTTGTCTAGAAAGACGATGAAAGCTTGATGATTAAACAACCCAGCTTCACTATTTCAATTCCCAAACACCTTCAACCTTGTTGAATTTATCTTTCATTTCAAACCTCCCTAGTCTCCTCCTTCTGAGTCAGGTTATTACTACTCAAAACAAAGTATTATCATGCTGATGGTAGGATACATATTAGGATACAGCCAGCCACTTTTATCATTTGAGATCCAGGTCATAAATAAAGTAACCAGAGTGATTCAGCCCACAGCACTGAATCTTTCAAGTTACCTACAGTCAAATGTTTACGAGCTCAATCTTGACTCTTTCTACAGCATCAGGTAGATCACTCCATCTAGTCAGAATGTTTTGTTTTTCAAGCAAACCTATCCTTCAGATAACTGTGCTTACCTTCACTTTGGTGCTGCCATAAACACTTCTGCACAATGAATAAATAAAAACAAATCTTCTCAGTCAACTAATTCAATACATACCGAGAATGGCAAAAGTCGGTGTACATCATGAAGCTACCAACAATGTCTATTTATAATTCAGTCCTTTCACTACAAACTGCATCAAGTTTATGCTTAGACTAACAGTCATGAATTAGAACAGCTGATCCCTTTGATAAATTTAAACAGCATAATCAAAAGACGAAGATTATCTGAAACATTTGATGGAGAGTAAATTCTAAACTGGTGAAAATGCTCAGCATCAATTTAATCGTCTATAACCTATGCGATCCGAACATTCACATCTATATGGGTCACCTAAAACTCATAAACCTGACAATCCACTGCGTCCAATACTGTCTATGTGTCGATCACCTATGCATAATCTAGCTAAACAGTTGAAAAAGCTCTTCAATCCTATCCAGAAGCCATTTATCTAAGTCCTCATTGAAAAATACATTCGACCTTATTGATTGTTTAAGTGATATTAATATCAAGGATAAGACTATGTACTCATTCAATGTAAATTCTTTATTTGTTAATAAGCATCTGGTAAAAACAATTCATGTTCTTTGTGACTAGATTTCTTCTCACAGTCGAATATTCTCTATCCCTCCTTATGTATTAAGACACTTATTATTATTATTACGTACTGATAAAGTTGAATACACATTCGAGAGTGAACACTTTCAACAGATTGATAGCGTCATGATGGGTAATCCATTAGGACCGTTGCTAGCCGATGTAAACATATTATATATCGAAAAGATGGTTGACGATCTTATACGAAGGGTTTCACTTTGTAAGAGATATGTCGATGATATAGTTAGTCATTATCTATGAAAAACCTGATGATGCGATGTGCCTGCTAGAGAAGATGAACATGGTTCAAAATCACATTAGCCTTACTTGTGAACAAGAGACAAACAACCAGCTACCGTTCTTTGATATATTGTTCAATCGACGGGAGGATGACTCGATTAGGATGTCGATCTATAGAAAGCATACATGTACAGGGCGGTCCAACATAAACGCCGTTTAGTTAGATGCTTATTCGACAGGATAAACCATATCTGTAATGATGACACCAAGCAGGAAGAAATAAACTTATTGACGATAACACTGATGCAGAATGGCTACCCGTTGAAATTTATCAGCACGTGCTAAAGTAATGTACCACTGAAAAGTAGACAGTGTTCCCTTGCTAACAAAAATGTCTACATCTCATTACCATTTAGAGGAGATTCACACAGCTCTGCCCTGAGGAAAAGACTTAGACCAGCCATTTATAAACATACTATGCAACCAAGCTCATCACTGTAGAGAAGACAAATTCCATGTTACAGCACAAACCAAAACAGCATATAGACGATTACATCATATCCCACTGTGTTTATCAATTTACATGTATATGTGGACATATATACATAAAGAGGAGTAATTGTGTCATCCAGTTGGGGATGGTTGAGCATGTACCTAAATGGCTTCAAAAAGAAACGATCTGAGCAGACTGGAAAAGTGCAGGTGACAAACATCTATCTTCGTCTATCGCTAATCATATACTAGAAACTAACTAAATAGTAGACATGAAAACCGCGTTTAAAGTACTACATATAATTAGTCAGAGCCAAGTGCTTACATTTATTGAAACTTGCCATCCTTAGATTCAAACCCCTTTTATGTATACTAAAACAATTTGTACTCACGTTGAACCTACCTTGGTAGTATTGATTTTAATCTTCATACCAAGACTAACGTGATTAATATTTTTCTCTCCCTTCCTATTCCTCCTATGTTTCTTATTAACTTCACTCATCCTTTTCGTAAATTTTCATATAAATAGTTCGACAAGTCCATGTATGATCACATTGTTCGATCTATCATTACTATCGACAAAAGCGCTCACTTTCCCCCTACAAGTCAGTCAGTCAGTCAGTCAGTCAATGAATTCCTTCATATGGATTAAGTATTCATGGAAGCTTGGTTACCCAGTAGTTACGTCGAAACGGTTACAAATAACAAGACTAATTGACACACAGATGTAGAAATAATCAACTTGTTTATTCTCATGAAAATAACTCGATAATAATACCAATAATCATCAGCAAAAATCTATGATCAATCGTCCAATTTTTAATCATACATACTGAAATAGACTTCATCTTCAGTATCTAAGCAAAAGTACGATGGTTCTACAGTCAAATTGTCCATTTCATTGGTGATATGCATCAGAAGGTGAGAAACTTCTTCCTCCTGTCCAATAGCATTCCCAGTTTGACTAACATCTGGAACATAATTTGCGTTGTTCTCTCTCATATCCATTACATATGACTGCAACTGAGCAAATATACGTACGGCAAATGGAAACATTTATGTTATTACTATGGAGTAATTGATAAGTTAGTTGAAAAGTCAGGGAAACAGCTAAATATGGTTTGAAGTAACACTGGTGAACAGCCTAGATGAGATGACATTCTAGCTAAACGGGCATAGCAATGACTCTCACAACTACTCAGTCTGATTATCAAATCATGGTGTCCGGGTGGGAATGAGCATTTAGGCGTCAACAGATTCTTCATACCACATATCTGATGATGCCACAGGGGTAATCAACCCTGAACAGAATGCATAGATACTCTTGGGAAGAAGATACGAGAAGTAACGATATATACGGGAGCAGTCATTTGGTCGTTAATACACTTTTAAGCTTATCTTCCAGGCAAATTATCTACACACGGAAGACTTAAATACGGAATGACTGACAAATTATCTATCAAAAACTCAACTATTATCACTACAAGTCTAATCAATTCTCAACCAATCCCTAGTCGAATTCATCCATCACCAATGCACAACAGTCAAGGCTCAACTGTCATTAACGGTATTCAATATGTATAGCAATCCACTGAATTCAATTGATCATGTCAAGATGACAATGTTCAAGTGGCTTTGTGTACGATATTAAGATGATTTATGATATCAAGCGTATTGAATAGTCGATTCATCTGCACAGTTCACTTGAACATTTGTGAACAGTAGCGTTAAATTTCAGCATAATCAACTGAAAATGAGTAAATTACCTCGAAAATCGAGAAACTGATAACTTTACTTCATTTTACCTGTGAGGAAATGTAGAATGTCTGGCCGGTCGCATTGGTGTATTTTCCTACTCACTTGTTCTTTGTATACACTTACTACTGTGTAGTCTGGCAACTTGAACCGATGCACCTATGTGCGAGGTTCCGCGTTCATCATGTCTGTCTGTCTGTCTGTCTAATGTAACCATCCAGTTTGCTTTCTAACTATTCTGCGTATAATTACGTCAAACAAGGATTTATCCTTCTTCCCTTGATGGCTTTGCAACTATGTAAACCATGAGTAAATGTTGTGAAGGGTAAGGGCTGTTCGCATGACTGTGAACAGAACATTTTATTCCAAATGCTATCCACAGTACGTTCCACTGTCTAATCAAGTCTTGGTGTTTACATTCCACCCTTATATCGATAGAAGAATCTCGTTTTATTTGAGTTGATGCTTCCATTTTACTCATTCACATAGTAGGAAGGGCTGTAACAGTGTCATATCAGTGTCATATATCCAAACAGATGATTTCATCCCCAAAATCGGTTGGTACAGAATTTCATCTACACTACACACTCATGGATGTTTTAAACACTAAGGACATCGCATGACTAGCTGGCTTATCATAGCTGTGATAAAACAGGTCACAGCTTTGAGTATGCGAGAATGAGTAGCGCCAGGTGTGTGTATTGGGGTAATTTCACTGTGGTATTTCTTCTGACATGAAGTTGCATTCAGATAACAACTTCCATGCATGTCATCCACACTTATAATCTAATCTCGAGGATGAATAAACATTTAGACAAATTAAGCAGTTCGTAAGACTCTAAAGTAACGGGATTCATTTCATCAAAGATACGAAATACACCAGAAATAGGAAAGATTTGTTGCAGAGGTTGAAAAGGAGTTTATGACACTTCACGACGCAACATAACCATCACATGAATAACTACAAACGGTGATCAGTTTCCCGATGTACAAAGTTATCAAGAGGTTAGTTAGTGTCAGCGTCATTGTCAGATAAAGTCAATGGCTTTATTCCCTTTTTGAAGTAGCCTTTGAAAAATCTACCTAATCAAATCGAATGGTGACTAAACACGATGTTACTACAAGTACAGTCCGATCAAGTGGAGACAGTGTTTCTCTGTTTTGTACTACTGTAGTGCACCTTCCTGGCACCAAAATATAACTAAGGCTAAAATAAATAGTTTAAATTAAATTAACTAAATAAATCTCTAGCTTGACTCCGGATGCTTAGGGTGTTTTAAGTTTTGTTTTAACGAGCATGTATCCGAGCAGGCTTGGACGCCATTTTTGCGCTCCATTGTGCTGATTACCACACACGTACTCCGAGTCCCTAGTTCAGCCTTACAAGCCAGATAAGTTGATTAAACTTTTCCCTCATTCATTATTATTACATTTACTTTAATTAAATATATAGCTCCTTCAAATACATTGCGTATCAGTTCTTTTGCTTTGTGTTTTGTTACCGGTACTTACACGTTAGGTAAAGTACTGGTTAAGCAGGTACTAGAACACATCAAGTTAAGTAGAGTTGATCAAACGTTACGGAATTGTAACACGCTTTCTCACACTACAATCAGCCGAATTCTTCAACTTAGGTAGTATAAGTGATAGGCCATGCCTGACTTACTGTTAATGAAAGTCACCATACGTCTATCTCCTTGTCGTCAACCTTCGTCTTTAACTGATTACTCACAGTTAGTTTTAGCCAATAATAAACTGTAAAATTCATTTGGTTTTCACAAGAAACTCTCTCTCCCTCTCTCATTTAAATAACTCACAATGCATTCAAAAGCAAAGAAAATAATTTCAGTCATATCATGAAAACTGGAAACTAATGAAAGAACACGACGTGTTCTTCGAACTTACCGATGGTATTGTTTTCATAGCAGTTCCCAGAGACGGTTTATTTGGTTTTTTCAATTTATGCAGATTAATTCTTTCTATCAACCCCAATATAAATATTCAAGTATTCCTAAAAAAATAAGTAAGTCTCGGGACATTATACAGTCAGACAAAAGTTGATATCAACTCATGAATTCAGTATTTCTCATTTGTTTGCTTCAAATGAATTTGGACCTCCACTTATGACAAATAATTTTTGTGGATAAAGATTTAACACACGTTAGAGTACACATTACTAAGCTGTCTGCAGCCATCTCTTCTCATCTATACGTGAGAAGCAACTGCTTTTGACTAGTTTCAACGATTAACACCTCTACATTCTCTACGAAGTGACTCTAAAAGTAACCTTAACAACTATTGAAACAAAAAGTCAATTAGGTTTCTTTACTTCATAAAAAACCCATCTGTTTAGACAAAATAAAGACACTAAATTAATTGTTTCAATAGTTGCCAGGATGAAGGGGAAGTAAGAATGAAAATTGTGTCAAGGTAGTTAACTCTTGCATCATTCTCAAAACAAAGGTCACAATCTAACCTCTTAGTTGAGATAGCTTATGCAAGCCGAAGTGTGATAAATTTACGCTGTTTATTAGTGCCTTTGAAGGGTATTTCTGACGCTAAAGTGATAACCTGAGTCAAGGTAATAATGACAATTAGAGTTGTCGATACTACTCAGTTCATTATGATGTAGGTTTCTCAGAATGCATTGAACCAAACGATTTTGGCAAGTATAATTTATTTCACAAATGAAGTTTAATATAATATGAGACTATTATTTATCTACGCTTGTTTGAATTATTGTACACTTTATCTCATTCATTAACGTTAACTTCACCACTGAGGATGCTTTTCTAAGTACGGTGTAACACTGTTGATTAGATCTTATTGTTAACTGATCTCTATTCAATGCTAACCGGCTATACCCTGGATTCTACTCTGGTTCGTTGGGGTTCTCACTCCTACATTTGGGTGGGATAGTATGACTCTTACTAAACGTCTGCTTAAAAATCTCATGTAAGCACTAAATTCACAAGGTGACGGGAAGTCAGCAAAAGTTTTATTTTAACAAGCATACATCCCAGCAGGCTTCGACGCCATTCTGCGCCCTCTTTGTGCTGGTTAATACGCACATGCACACGCACACGCACACGCACTCAGAGTCCCTAGTTTAGCTATACTAGCCAGATAAGTCGAATAAACAAATTCCCCTATTCATATCTATTACACTTATTCTAATTAAATATATTCCTTCTTCGAACATATTCCTGAATACCAGTTCTTTTGATTTGCCTTTCCTTATTAGTACTTACATGTTAGATAAGGTACTTATTAAGCAGGTACTACAGCACATCGAGTTAAGTAGGGTTGGCCAAACGCTACGTAATAGTAACACAACCAACATACCCCTACGAAGTACAGCTGAATAGCCTAGTGAACGAATGAATGTTGAGTTTTCTGCTCCAATTACTTGTATACATCCCTTCAGCTGCATGCACACCAGTTATTTCCGACCGAATTTAGCATACATGTACAGTTCTCTTAGTCGAATGAGTTTACCACTAGAAATAGACGTTCAAAACCGAGTGAACCAATCAAATCTGAAAATAAATAGATGAATGACAACTTGGATGAAGGTGATTTTGTTCACAAGAAGTCACTGTCACCTTATTTAAACTTTTGACCTTCCTAGTACTTCAGTGTTTCCTCCTCCCTAGTGCTTTATTACCTGTTTTCTGGATTAGCAGAAGCACAGACATCATTGCCTATCAGTAGTCACTCTTATCTATTGTCAATTTAATTTCCTCATCATCCAGATTACAACTTACCAGTTAACGTCAGTGGGGCCACAGAGGCTGATGAGAAAAGCATAGTTGACAATCCCGAATCATTTTATCTATCAAATCTAAATAAATCACTAACAACTCGATGTTCACGACTATTATTCAGTGCAATATCTTGCTATGCAACTGAGGAAGCATACTGAATAAAATTAAGTATCTTGTATATACACAAAGCTGCTCAGAACACTCGTGTAACCCCCTGGTGGTAACTATTCATGCAATAATATTTGGAATAACTCAACAAATATCCAGTAAAAGAAGAGTATACAGACGAAGGAGGCATACCAGAGAACCAACCGGTAGATCATTCCAGTTTCTTACATTACAAACTGACACTTGATTATCCTACTAGCTACACGCATGCCTATCCACTGTTTACCAACAGATTAGTCTCAGTAACGCACAAAAGGCTCGGTTGGCTTTTGCCAATTTACGCCACTTATGGCGCTGCCGTGATATCCGATTGTCTGTTAAGGGTCGCGTGTACTGCACAGCAATCCGGTCTGTTCTGCTGTATGGCTGTGAAACATGGCCACTGAAAATGGAAGATATGAGAAGGCTTCAAGTGTTTGACCATCACTGCCTTCGTAGTATAGGCCGCCGTCTTCCGTGGTGTCACCATGTGAGTGAGTAATGCAGAAGTCAGGAGTAGAGGTAAATCAGTTGATGAGGTTATGAACCTTCATCGATTGAGATGGTTGGGACACGTACTACGTATGCCTAGTCGCCGATTGCCTCGTCACATAGTGTTGAGAGAAGTAGGCCCAGGCTGGAAAAATATGCGAGGTGGCCAGACTAAAACATGGTACCAATGTATGAAGTCTCTGACTGTTGGTTTGGGCCATGTAGGGCGATGCAGACTAGGTGGTTCGGGTCCGTGGGACAAGAGGGACCAGAGGTTGGAGACTCTAGGTGATCATATGGCTCAGAACCAATGTCAATGGCGCAGATGCATCCCCACTCACATTATCCTCATCTTAACGACTCTATACTGAATCTCACCATTTTGTCACTCCTCTTTCCTTTCTTCTCGGACTTTATATTGCTTTTGACTTCATTCTCTTATCTTCATGCTTCACCTCACTACCTTTCTACTTGATGTACTGTACTGAGCTGCGGCAACTCGGACCGCAGTAATGCCTGGTCCTATGTTGATACTGATTGATTGAGTAACGCACACTAATATCAAATATTTAACATTCCTACTCCCGAAGAAGCCATTATTAAAACATGTAAATACTAATGATGTTCACTTGTAACACATTCGAAATCTTACTCATTCGCCTTCCAGTTTCCATTTCTAGACCGCCTCACTTCTTCGTTGTCCAGCTCTAAAGTTTGTCAGTTATCTCTTATCATTAAATGTAAGTACATCCTGTGTACTTACTTGCTAAGTCATCACCTCACCTTTTTCTCCTCCTCTTTTCCCTTCCACATTCTCATGGTCACTACCAAACCCATACTGCTCTACGCGTCCCTCGAAACAACGTACCTGCTTCTTCACCTATCTACAGGCCAGACGAAAACCTATCAACACCTAGTCGTTGCACACCCATGGAAAATTATGAAAAATTCTCGTCGGATAATGGCCAACATAAATACAGCCAAAGGGGAGAAATAACTGAGTCCAGTTTCAAACTTTGTCCATGATAATCAAAATACAAACAGTAAAAATAACAATAATAATAATAATGATAATAATAGTGGTAGTAGTGACAATAGTAATTACTGCTTATTATCATCGAACTACCAACTAGCCGTAAATATTTTCCAATCAGGCTATGCAGATAACTTTAACGACTCTATATAACTTGTTCACATAGGCATTCCGACCACCATCCTGATGACAACATGTGTACACAACTATTACACCTTGTCCACACAACAATACATTGGTTTCATCACTTAAGATTGTTCAAACACAATGACTCACCAAGTTGGCTTCGCTCAAGCTCAACCCTTCCAAGTAAAGAAATGAACCACCTAATTACGTCTTAAATATCGATACACTATACACTACCTACGAAATATTATCCAATGAAAATATTTCACTTTAGAACAGTCACATTTACTTTTCATTGGGCGACAATCAGCCAACATTCAACTACTCGTCTATCTATCTATCTATCTATCTGTTCTACGAGCGGCCTTCAAGGCTACCTCAGAGATGACTGAAATGACTAATCAGTCTTCTGTTTTTTATGAAAATCTGCCTTGTCAGCAAAAATGAACAAATCTAATTGGTTACTTCGATCGTTGCCATGATTGCCTGCTTTTAATTGGGTCATATGATAGTAATCAGGCTATGGTGGATTGACTACCTTAAAGACCACCTTAACAACAACCGAAATAACCAATGAGACTACTCTATTTTATAAAAATCTGACTTCTAGGCAAAATGAAGAGATATACTTGGCTCTCTAGGTCTTATTACTAGGGTGGACTGCAAGGACATTCTACAAAGTCACTCTTTAGATTCATACCTACGCTTTAAGATGTTGAGGCTAATCAAGCAACCTTTCTGTTCATAGTGAATTTTTTATGGAGAATGCCTTCATATGTCACTAGATCTTACGCGCAAAGTAACACCTAGGTTACCTGAATGAAAGACTGGGTCCAGGGGTAACTTTGAAAGCCACTCTAGGAATTGATGTGACTGCCAATCTGTTATTATTATTATTATTATTTGTCCCATGGGTTCCTAGTGGAAAATAGGGCTTCAGTAACACATCTCAATTTCACCTTCTTCTCCGAAGTCTCCTGAACCTGGCTACACGACTCCCAACAAGCTTTCATTTCTTCCTCACACCATTGCCTCCATGTCACCCTCACCTCAGCGTAACTTGGCCTGCAGCTTCATGTCCTCAAATGGTCTCCTCAGTCTATGCCCGACCCACCTCCACTTCGTTCTGCTGCATATTTGTTGGGCAATAGCTTCGTGGTTGGTTCGTTGTCACACCAGACAGAGTTAATCCTTGCTTATTCTTATTATTCTGGCCATCCATCTGATTTGCAGTATCGAGCCAGCATAGGTAGCTGTTGATGAGTACCCGTAGTCTGTTGAAAATGCTTACAGTAACGCGCCAAGTCTCTAAACCATCACATAGAAGCACTGACTTACTTGACTGACATTAGAGTTGAAAATCCGGATATTGTTCTTCATGCTGATTGCAGTAGATGTCCATACTGATTTCAGATTAATCAAGGCCCATCTTGCTGTCTTTTTGATCCTGGCTTTGACGTTGTCATCTGTGCCTCAGCCTGTAGTTGAAACGATGGTGCCTAGATGGGTAAGTAGGAGAAAGAGACAACTTTCTCCAGATTTCTCCCGTCGATGGTGACTGATGCTTATTGTTGTTGGTTGGGTATCTTTATCATCACCTCTGTCTTCTCTACCATTACTTGAAGTCCCGTCTTCGCTGCCTCTACTGTCAACTTGTTGATTTTTGCCTGTAGATCTTCGAGTTTGTGCGTGGTTAGACATTAGACATAAATAATCATCGGCGAAATCCAAATATTCTAGAGACTTTACATCGGTCCATTTAGCGCATGCCCCTCTTCTACCTCCTCAGAGTTTGTTGCATGATCCAGTCGACCACAATCAGATCGGGAATATCATCGGTGATAGTAAGTGACAAACATGTCTTACTCCTGTCTTCACCTTGGAGGAATCACTGAGTTTTCCATTGTGAATCACTCGGCATGTGGCATGTAGCACTAAAAGCGTAGCGTTGAACCGGCTGCCCGCCAAATGACTTCTTGGTCGACGTTGTCGAAACAAGGCCTTTCAAAATCGATGGAGTTGAGGTAGAGGGTTGACTGCCATTCTGTGCTCTGTTGTATGACGATGCGCAGTGTAGCGTTTCAATTTGGTCTTAACATGATTTGTTCTTCCTGAATCCAGTCAGCCAACCTGTTTCAGTAGTAATTTTGAATCCAGAGCAATTTTTAGTCTCTCCAGGATGATGCAGCATAATATTTTGCTTTGGGTGGACATGAGCATGATTCCTCGCCAGTTCTTGCAAGGACTTAGATCTCACTTCTTTGGAAGTTAAACAAGATAGCCCGTCTTCCAGTCAATAGATAGGTACCTTTCCTCCCTTCCTTGCAAACCTTCTCCAACAGTAGTGTGAGCATGGCCGCTGTTGTCCCTGCGTCTGTTTTCAGTGCTTCTGGAGGAATTTCATCTGGTCCTGCTGCTTTTCTGCATCTCACCAACTTTATGGCGTCCAGGAATTCACTTCTGTATTTATCTTAGGGCTTATGTCCACTGGTAATTGTGTGACTGGGTTGCTGGTGATATTTCTGGACGAGTTGCAGGTGGTGGTGGTGGTGGTGGTCCATTCAAGAGTTTTATGGAGTGGTCAGCCCATCGTTTCCTTTGTTTCTCCTCTCTGGTAACTAAGTTTCCTTCACAATCATCTTTCATTGGTTTCATGTGTGTTGATTTCTTGCCAGATAGTAACCTGGTCATTTGACATGGTGTTGTCAGGTCTCTGTCTGTCCTACCTGCAGCCTGTTCTGCTTCACTTGCCAGTGTATCGTAGAAATGCCTTTTGTCTTTTCGCTCACTCTTCTTCACTTCTTTGTCCAGTGTAGTGTTTTATAGGTTGTGTTCAGTTCTTCTTTTCGTTGTGCATCCTTGCAGTGGTTTATCTTCTGCTTCACCATCCTCCTCACCTCTATCAGCTTCCATGTGTACGTTGAGATCCATTCCTTGTCTTGCCTCTTCTTCTTCCTCCCTAATACGGTTATGCAGATTTCCTTCCATATCTCTATCAGAGTTCCAGTGTTCTTCCATACAGGTTCCTTCAGGGATGTTGCCTAATGTATTCTGTTCTGTTCTTTGTAGTTTGGTTCTCAGTTTCTGTTCTGGGTGTTGAACTTGTTTCTTTCATCACTGAAAAGTGAAACAAAAGTGATGGACCCCCGTCTGAGTGCGTTATACAAGACTTGCACCCTTAAATCCTGTTACACTTTCCAGTCGAAGCAAAGAGGTCTGATTGGCTATTTAAGTCATGGCTATGTTGGCCTTCAAAGTCACCTCAATTCGACTACTGTTTCACTTTTCCTCAACTTCATCGACTTTAAAAAGGTTTTCAACAGCATCAACCGAGAAGTAATTTGGCAACTGCTTCAACACTACGGAACACCAAAAACCTTTATCAATCTCATTCAACAGCAGCCATATGAAGACGCCACATGCCAAGTAATTCACAATGGGAAGCTCAGTTATGCTTTTGAAGTGAAGACTGGAGTAAAACAAGGCTGTCTACTATCACGCATGATATTCTTGGTTGTGGTCTACTGAATCATGCAACAAACAGTAATGAGCGAGAAGAGAGGGATACGCTGAATCGCGGAAAAGATCCTAGAAGGTTTGGATTTCGCCGATGACTTGTGTCTAATGTCACACAAACTTGAAGATCTACAGGGAAATCCAACAAGTTGACAGAAGAGGCAGGGCAGCGAAGACGGGACTTCAAGTGAACGTAGAGAAGAAATAGGTGATGAAGATACCCAACCAACGCCACCGCGAACAACAGCAATAACAAGCTCCAAACACCATCAATGGGAGAAGCTCAAAGGAAGTAGCCTCTTTCACCTATCTAGGCGGCTCTGTCTCAAATACAGGCTGCACAGACGAGGACGTCAAAGCCAGCCAGGATCGGAAAGACAGCAAGACAGGCGTCCATTAGCCTGAAACCAGTTTGGAGATCTATTGCACTCAACACAAAGCGTGATTAAAATCCGGATTTTCAACACCAATGTCTAGTCAGTGCTTCTGTATGGCTCAGAGACGAAAGAGATTTCCAACAAACTACAAATATTCATCAACAACTGCCTATGCTGTCTCGTTACTGAAGCTCAGATGGATGGCCCGAAAGAACAGGCAACAAGGAACTCTGGCTGGGTAACGAACCAACGTAGAAAGAACCTATCGCTGAACAGATATGCAGGAGGAAGTGAGGATGGATTGGATTGGGTATGCACTGAAAAGATTGTTCGGGGACATCACGTACCAGGCCAGGCCCTCGAGTGGAACCCCAATGGGAAGCGACGAGTTGGGCGTCCGAGGGTGACACGGAAAAGATCGTGCGAGGAGAAATTAGAGCATCTGGGCTGTCGTGGAGCCAGGTTCAAAAGTTTGCAGAGAACAGAGTGCACTGGAGACGTGCTACTGAAGCCCTATGTTCCATTCGGAACCCAAGGGACAAATAATAATTATGTTTTTGTGTCATTTCATGTGGTGCATTTCTTGATACTTCTGGTGTATAAACTTTGACTTATGACTAACTAACTAACTAATAATATACCTAGGAGAATATGACGTTGAATATGCTACTTTATTCAAGATGACCTGAAGTGTGACCACTACTTCTGATGAAGAAAATGTTGATTATGATCATTCATCCAGCTGAGCAGTGTGACTACGTTTCACTACCAATATTTTATGGGTGATTACCACTTCTGTGTCTAGACACATTTTAGGTAACTTTCCCTATGTAGATTGATGCTTATCCTGGAAGAGCAGAAGCATACATATTACCATCAGCTAACTATCATCAATCGAAGCATGATGATTTCTTCTATCGGTTAAGTCGAAGTATTGAGAGAAAAGAGACAATGTATGTATTACTTATCGTCAGTTGGCAACATTCTTGTTACATCCACTTTTAGTGATGTCGGGAATATTTAAAATAATACCAATATTAATGATGATAATAATAATACCAACATTTTGAAGAATTCTGAGTAAGGCTGAAATTGGAATGGCATTTAAATCTAAAAATTGACTAAGAAATAAGCTTTGCAGGCTATAAGATCATACTGATCAAATCAGGTCTTTGAAGTGAAGACAGGAGTAAGAAACGTTTGCCGCCTACTATCACCGATGATATTCCTGATATGATTGAAGTTGACTGGATCATGCAACAAACTCTGAGGAGCCAGAAGATGGGCATACGTCGACTGGACAGATGAAAAGATCCCAGGAGAAGGTTTGGATTTATGGCCAATGTATTGTCGCACAAACTCGAAGATCTATAGGTGGAAACTAACAAGTTGGTAGAAGAGGCGAGGAAGCGAAGAAAGACGGCACTTCCTTCAGGTGAATACAGAAAAGACAGAGGTTATGAAGATATTCAACCAACAACAACAAGCATCAATCACCATCGACGGGAGAAACCTGAAGGTACCATCGTTTCAACTACAGGCTGAGGCACAGATGACAACGTCAAAGCCAGGATCAAAAAGACAGCAAGATGGGCCTTGATTAATCTGAAATCAGTATGGACATCTACTGCAATCAGCATGAAGAACAATATCCGGATTTTCAACTCTAATGTCAGTCAAGTAAGTCAGTGCTTCTATGTGATGGTTTAGAGACTTGGCGCGTTACTGTAAGCATTTTCAACAGACTACGGGTACTCATCAACAGCTACCTATGCTGGCTCGATACTGCAAATCAGATGGATGGCCAGAATAATAAGAATAAGCAAGGATTAACTCTGTCTGGTGTGACAACGAACCAACCACGAAGCTATTGCCCAACAAATATGCAGCAGAACGAAGTGGAGGTGGGTCGGGCATAGACTGAGGAGACCATTTGAGGACATGAAGCTGCAGGCCAAGTTACGCTGAGGTGAGGGTGACATGGAGGCAATGGTGTGAGGAAGAAATGAAAGCTTGTTGGGAGTCGTGAAGCCAGGTTCAGGAGACTTCAGAGGAGAGGGTGAAATTGAGATGTGTTACTGAAGCCGTATGTTTCACAAGGAACTCATGGGAAAAATAATAATAATAAATTACGGGGTCAAATACACTGGTCACAGTAGTCGATCAGCTTCACTTTTGCTATCCGAGTACAAAAACCTAGCTAAATGAAAATTAGTAGATCTTAGTGGTGTAAGGATTCTAAGGGAAACCTTGACTATAGCTAGGGATGAAACTGTGCACAACCACACAGTAAGGATGCAATGCTCCTTAAAACTAATTTAGTGGGGTGGAGGATATGATTAGTTACGGAATAAACATTAGATACGTAGAACATGGATCACCTAGTACTTGTTCCAGATATATGGAAAATCCTACTACCCATATCACAAAGAAGAAGGGAGTATTTGAACTACTTAACCTATGTCTCATATTTATCGGGTTAAATTGATGTGATAATGGATAATAAATTGCATCACAGACGTATTTTTAGTGGAAATAACTGTTTTTCTTTGTGATATATTGAGTAAATCAACTCAAAATGGCATCACAAAGCACTCAAATGTGACGACATCCACCTGAGGAGTCTCAGATAGAACGAAACGCACACATTCAACTTGGCTGCTAACTACTGTTCTTTCCTATTATGAAAATTATACTTGTGATATCATCTTTTCAAATCGGTAAAATCATGTCAGTAACCACTAAATAGGATAATTAAAAATATTGTCTGCCTCTTAGTAAGTCTGTTGTTTTGCTCGTTCGAGGTGGCGATAAGCAGCTGAGAGAGAACTAAATTTAACAGATCATCTCTGAAGTAACCGAGATGGTGGTAAATAAGTGGATAAGTATTCTGATGTGTAAATTTACCATCAGACATGTTAATATTATTATTTATTATTTTTCCCTTTGGTTGCTAGTGGAACATACGGCTTCAGTAGCACGCCCCCACTTCACTCTCTTCTCTCCAGTCTTTTCAACATGGCGCCACGACTACCCACAATACTTCATTCCTTCCTCACGTCATCTCCTCCACATCACCCTCACTCCGGACGCCCAACTCATCGTTTCCCCTTTAGATTCCACTCAAAGACCTGGCCTGGCCCAGTCTGACCTGGTGCCTCATATCCCCAATACGTCTTCTCAGTCTATGCTCAATCCATCTCCACATTCCTCTCCTGCATATTTGTTGAGCGATAGGTTCTTGATTTGTTGGTTCGTCGCCAACCAGACTTCCCCCTTGCTTATTTTTATTATTCTGGGCATCCATCTGATTTTCAGTATTGAGCCAGCATAGTTAGCTGTTGATGCATGTCTTTAGTCTGTTGGAAGTGTTTTTTGAGACGCTCCAAGTTTCTGAACTATATAGCAGCACTACTATCAGTCGTGACATTGCTGTAATTCGTGTTAATACGGTCAAACAGACAGGCAGATAGACATACAGACAGATAAACAACAGACAGGTGGGCAGAAATATAAAATCAGCAAAGAAACACATAAATGTAGTCGTTGAAGATGTCACACTTGACAGTAGTATACAGCAGACAAATGGATGGTGTATGACAGCAGAAAGAATTTGAAAATAAAGGTTAACGAGAATATTCAAACTTTTGTCAGACATCGAAGAGTGAACACATCTGTATCAGTGTGACCAATTTTCAGCCATTTCACTGAGAATATGTGGCTACTGACTCCTTCAGTCTTGGAGGCTCCACTCAGATAGTCTACACCTTGTTACACATTTCAAATCAACAGCTGAATAAGTGTAAATTAAATGGATGCAACACAGATGAGCTATGCACCAAATATACAATGCGAACAGAAAGGAGTGGAATAATTGAACTAGTGCCTTATGTATATATTCAGAAAAGTGTTTCCGTAAACTTCTCTCTAGTGCATAAAAGTTTGAAGATATATGTATACTTTTATATGCCTGTATTGACCATCAATCTAGTGTTCACATCTGTCTTCCTCAAAATCTTTCATGGTTTACTCCCATTGCTTATAAAGAGGATGAAATCATAACACCCGACGTCAGAATGGATATCTTAAAAGATCCATCTACAGAAAACCAACGTGGAACGGACAACTAACTAATTTTTATAGTTGGGTGCCCATCAACAGAAAAAGAAATCTTATTCACTCTCTTTGCTATCGAATGGGAAATATCTGTAGTGAAGATTGTATCAACGAAGAGCTATCTTTTTTAAAAAGCATACTTGTCGAAAACGGTTACCCTAGCCGTTTTATTGATAAAAATATGCGGGAAAGAAACACTAAACCAGTCATCCACTCGGTCTCAAAGAAAAGATTGTTTATGAGCCTGGAGTTTAAAGGAGACCTAGCATCGGATGTACTGAAGAATTGTCTTACCAGATCAATCAATAGAACTTTCTTCGCAGCAAGACTTCAGCTGACTTTTACTAGCCGCAACCTATTCTCCACCTGCGTTAAAGACAAGCTTCCTCGTTTGGCCGCCTCTATGTGCATCTACCAGTTCACCTGCTCTTGTGGAGCAAGGTACATCGGCCGTAGCCAGAGAATGCTTTCTACACGTATACGAGAACATGTTCCTGCTTGGTTTAATAAAGGTGAAAGAAAGTCTGTTAGAAGTTCGATTCTAGAACATTTGATTGACTTCCATCACACAACAAATCAAGACGATGACTTTGAAATTATTTATCAAATTCGCCCAAACCTCCTACGTTTTTTTCCTTTTCAACTCCTTACAACAGTGGGCACTTTAGATATTCATGAACTAAGACCTGATCTGTGTATACAAAAGAAATATGTGCAGTCACTGTCTTTATCATCGCCATAACATTTTCCCATCCCATTAGCTCCCCCTTCCACTTTGTTAATCTAACCTTTGTATCCTTCCTTTATCACTATTTTTGTTACTATAATCGCCTTCACTTTAACTAGTTTCCGGTGTTGTTTCACTTAATTGTCTTAATCCTTTTAGAAAGCATTGACTTCATCTTGTCCAACTTGTCTAATACCATTACATAATACTTAATTGATTTACCATTTTCAACAATTTTTTCATCCCCTTCTGAGTTATATACTCTCTGTGTACCATTCCATATATCACATAATCTATTTGTTATCATTTGCATTTCAATTGTTATTATAATCATAAGTGCCTATGTCATCACCCGCTCTATTATTATTGTCATCACCATATAGTGTTTAGTTTTCCTCACAGGATATAACTTTTTCCAAATATCATATATATATACGATTGTACAGCTTGAAAATAAATTCGTTGAAAAGAGTCTCTTCGCTGAATTTCTTGTTCTTGATGTTACAATGCGAATTATTAAATTAATAATAATAGTAATAACGATTGTAATGATAGTATCAGTGAATAGTGGCCAGCTATATAATCCAAGGTGTGTGCTCCACTTTATTTAAGCACTCATCAGCTGAATTTAGTTGGCCTTCAATAATCGATATCGTTGCAGCCAGGACTCGGTCTCAGATTTCCATCCGCCACCAATTGTGTGATGGATGTGTTGAAACAGTAATAATAGTAAGATAGTAACGAACTAATAATTGTGCAATACTAAATGTCTAATAGGAAAAAAGTAATTATATAGGCATAAGACAAGTATCAGCTGAGAAGAAATATTTCTTTTCAACGACTTCATTATCAGGTTGTACAGTCGTATTTATAATCTTTGAGAGAGTTGTGTAGATTTGGAATTATTCCAGGTTGTTATTCATCGTGGACTGACATCAGTTGGAGGAACAAAAGAAACCTGGGAGCACTGGACAGCTGTTTAATTGTCCTAGTATGGGACTCCTCAGCAGTGCGCACCCACGACCCCACCAGCAGTATTTATAATCGGTTAAATGACAGATAATTTCACTTAAATGAGTTCCTAAGTCAACATACAATTGGTATCGGTGATGGGATTTGTTCAGGTGGAACAAAATAGAAAATAGGTCACTGAATAACGAGGTACGAATTGATAACAAGTGGTGAGATAAGAGACAAGTACTGTCAATAAAGGGAGAATTGGTGATAATGATGATGATAATAAAAGAGAAGTATGTCAAAGTGAAGTGAAGTGATATGTAGTTGATAAAGGTAACTAAAAGTGAATTATTAAGGCCAAGATAGAGAAAGTGATTTCACAAAACGTTTTTGAATGCAAAGATTCGGGTTTTGTTCATGTATAGGCAATACTTCAGCTATGGATAAGTAATGGAAACGAAGATGTTTGGAGTAGTTCAATTTAACTTTGTAAATAACTTTCAAAGATGAATCTTGAGGTGTTGAATGACTTAATTCAACAAGGTGTTCACATATGGATGAAGTCGTTTTCCTTTTCTTGATCCTTTCAGAAATTCAACCAACTTTAGAGACAATTTGTCAAGAAATAGTCTTCTTCTCTGTTATATTGCAATACATCACAGATAGAATGACTTCCTGCTTCTTATTGATGAATTTTAGTGGACATCGAATGTCGCTGAAACATTATATAAACAGTGGTTAGTTCTTCATCAACCTTATTACTGTTGTATGGCTTTTTTTTGTAGTGAGAAGTGTTTTTGATACCAGAACATTTTATAGTTGGCATTCATCATGGACTTATATCAATGGAAGGAACATTGGAAATCTGGAAGCACTAGGCAGCTGTTTTATGCTAGTATGGAACTCTTCAGCAGTGTCTACTCATGACTCCCAGGTTCTGCGACAAACAAGTTATCACTAAGACACTGAGTTGGAATCCAATGATCCACATTTCCTACTTTCATCATTTCACGATATAGAGCAACCTTCATACAATGTCATTAATGAATAACTGTCCTCACGTTCGACTTGATTGGCCTAATTGGTCAAAAATTCTCATTAGAAATTTGAGAACCACCTCTTGAAGCGAGTTACCAATGACTACTAGATTGATTCAGTTGAATTTATCATCATTTTCAGGATATCTATCAAATACACGAAGGTGGTATGAGAGAGAGAGAAGAGCCCTAATATCATTTATTATTTTGATTTCAGTCGTTTAACTATACAAAAACAGGAATGCTAGATAAAGAACAATCCAGTACTTTGTTTTCAGCTTTTTTGAGCCACAGTTAAGGGAGAAAAATGTTCACTGTATGGCATACTTTATTTATCCTATCATAGTAAGTCAAAACAGAGTAGAACCTGGATCAGAAATGTACTAGTTCAAACTTGTCAACTTTATAACATCTTACAAAAAAGAGGTGCATAGAACAAGAATAATATTGATGTCGAAGGAAAAGGAGTAAATAAAATCAGGTGAATAAAAATGTTTAGAAATACAAAGTTGGAGCGATTGTGACCGATTTCAATAAGCCTTGAATTATTGAATTTTATCTTCTCCAGGATTCCAGCCAGACAGCCTGAAACTGCCTATACAGCTCACACCGATAGCCAAAATCTTTGTGAACTGATGCCATGTTTCTATATGACAACCCTTAACCTTCTTTTAACTTGATCATAGTTTCGCTAACGTTGAACGTCGAGGTAGGCATTGACTCAATATGCACGTCACATGATGGAGCTATCTCGGTAGATAAAGGTGTACAAACTTGTCGACTGAGCTGCCCCCCCCCCTGGTCTAGTACTCTAAATGTAACCTTAACATTAGTTATTTGGAACAGCAATTCTATTGAGATAACTTTGATTAGAAAACCCTATAGCCAGTTCGCATCTCTCACATTTTGAGGGGGATTTTCCCACAAACACACACCAGAACAAATCAAACAGATGAATATTGCTGGTTCCAGTGACTGCTTTAGGAACTTCATACAGTCCTTCCCTTTCTTGAATTTGAATGAAGCATACGCTGGACCGATGAGAAGACTCTAGAAGATTTGGATTTCCCCGATGATTTACGTCTAATGTCTTGTCGCACAAACTCGAAGATCTACAGGCGAAAACTAACAGGTTGACAGGAGAGGCAGTGAATATAGAGGAGACAGAGGTGATGAAGATACTCAACCAACAACAACAACAAACTCCAATCACCATCAACGGATAAGCTTAAGGGAAGTAGTCTCTTTCACCTATCTAGACAGCATCGTCTCAAATACAAGTGGCACAGACAAGGATGTCAAAACCAGGATCGGAAAGGCAAGACAGGCCTTCACTAATCTGAAATCAGTGTGGAGGTCTGCTGCACTAAGTATAAAGGGTGAACAAGATCCGGATTTTCAACATCAGTGTCAAGTCAGTGCTTTTATGTGATGGTTCAGAACTTGGAGCGTCTCAAAAAGCACTTCCAACAGACTAAAGACATGCATCAACAGCTAACTATGCTGGCTCGATACTGAAAATCAGATGGGTGGTCAGAATAATAAGAATAAGCAAGGGGGAAGTCTGGTTGGCGACGAACCAACAAATCAAGAACCTATCGCTCAACAAATATGCTGGGAGGAATGTGGAGATGGATTGAGCATAGACTGAGAAGACGTATTGAGGACATCAGCTACCAGGTCAGACTGGGCCAGGCCAGGTCGTTGAGTGGAATCTAAAGGGGAAACGATGAGTTGGGCGTCCGGAGTGAGGGTGATGTGGAGGAGATGATGTGAGGAAGAAATGAAGTATTGTTGGTAGTCGTGGCGTCATGTTGAAAAGACTGGAGAGAAGAGAGTGGAGTGGGGCGTGCTACTGAATCCCTATGCTCCACTAGGAACCCAAGGGACAAACAATATATAGTAAAAAGGGAACAATAGTAGCAAAATTAACATGCGTGCATTTCGTGGACTCTCTTCAGCTGCTTCACAACCTATGGAATCTAATATTTACGATCAATAATACGTTATTCAACGTTCTTTAACAAATCAACAAAATGTTTTACGGATTGTGATGAAAGTTAAGAAAGATTTAGGTTGATCGGGTTGATGAGGTTGTTAAGACTAGTCGAAGGTTAACTATTTATACAAAGATACCACTGGAAGAGACGATAGATATGAATTCAAACACCTTCTGTTGATATGTACAAAGAATGTCCATTTGAGTAACACCCTATGCCATCAAATCGATGGAGTCGCTACAAGAAACCCTCTAAGCCCGATCCTTGCTAGTATCTTCGTGAGGATTCTGTAAGCGACACAACTAAGATATGCAAATCGACTAAACAGCATTCTACGTAAAGTCTGTTGACGATACATTTATTGTATGCCATAATGGGGAGTATACATTTCATTTATTGCATAAATTTAATCAAGTTGTTATATTTTCGTACGCCAATGGCATATGTATATATTCCGGAACGAATATAATACGCAGGCTTAACTGACAGATAACTTAATACACAAGAGATACTGACTGCAACCCTGGGAAGAATAGAAGACCGAAACTGGATGATGAGAGAGTTTATTACTCCGGGAATATAACAATAATCAATCTCAAAACACGTGAATAAGTACACACACGAAAGATGACCTTGTCCCCAATTTGAGACATTGACTTCGGAAGCGTAAAGATTAACCAATCAGAGACTTACACTACAATGGGGGTAAAAAAAAACTACTAGTAGTCATACCGTAAAAAATAGTGAGGAAATGACACATTAAAATGTTCAGATCAATAATAATGTTTGATACAAAACTGGGGCATCACAACAGAAGTGCACCCCAATATAACATTCATCATAGAAACTGAACATGACAAGCGATTCCACCTTATTGACTTTGGCCTACAGCGTTTTACAAATAGAAAGAATCATGGACACATTTATAGAAAAGGTGCATGAAGTAGGCTTCATTTAAATTTCAACGCTTTTTGCCTAATCTGATGAGATGCAAACCTGATCTATGTATTCAGAAAGACGATACTGTTGTCAATCTTGGTAATTTTAATCTCTAAAATTTGTAAGTACAAGATTTCATGACCCTTAGTTATTTTGCCTCTTATTTTTCACTGTCTATTTTAAAACTTACTCTCACTTTCTGTGTTGTATTCTTTTTATTTCTCAGTTGAATTGGTAGACTAGTCTTTATACTGAGTTATGATTAAAGGTGAAATGAGAATTTGGACTACGGCCGGATTCGAACCAACGACCATTGTAGCTCAGTTAGTAGAGGATTGTGCCGGAAACATAGTGGTCACTGATTCGAATCCGGCCATGGTCCAAATTCTCATTTCACCTTCGATCATCACCCAGTATAAATACATATTTCAAGTTGTTTTTCACCGTAGACTGACATCAGTTGGACTAACGTTGGAAACCTGGAGGCACTGGACAGCTATTTCCCCTTAGTATGAGACTGCTAAGCAGTGCGCACCCACGACCCCATACCATCGGGGATTGAACCCGCGACCTTCAGGTTCCGCGGCCAGCATGTTACCACTGAGCTACTGGGTTAGAATCCCATGGTCCATATTTCCAACTTCTGTTAGCTCACGATACCCCGCAAACACCATCCAATGTCATCGTTGAGTAACCGTCCTCATGACCATCAGGCTTTGCCCCCATCGGTCACGACTTCTCTTTGGAACTTCGGGAATACCTCTCGAAGCTAGTCACCAATGAGAACCAGTTCAATTGAATACATATATATGTCATCTGAGGTGATAAGTTGAGTGTAAACTTTGTCAATTGATTGGTGATCAGATGTTTGCAGAGGGAAAATTATCAATAAAGTTCAAGGTTGCATTGCGTCTAGTGAGTAATTAGTACAAAGAATAATTTACCTAAGGGCAGAAATGGGGTGGATATTTCATTATAAGATGGTAAATATGTGAAACGGCTATAATAATGTGGAAAAAAAATGTTAGCAGAAATTTTACAGGATCGGAGGAAAGTCTGGTTAGAAATAATAGCAATAATCATAATAGTAATAGTAATTTCGTTTTTTATTTTAGAAAGAAACGGAAGAAAAGAGTGGGGACGAAAAAGAAAGATTAAGAAAGAAAAAAAAGGGATGAGGGGATATTGTTTGGTTGATGGAAGGTCAAGGGAGAAGTAGCGCTTGGACGTGTTCTTTATGGAATACAAAATTCAGGTTTCGTTGATCTTATAGCTACAGCTTCCGTTATAAGGAGAATACGTAGAAGAATGACATATGGTATAGTCTTCGGAACGAGGTGAAAGCTGTTAGCTGAAAGCTGTGTTAGCATCTGTTTGATATCTTGTACCTATTAGATGGATTTGATCTTACCCTTTGTAAACCATGTCGATAGAAGTTCTCGTCTCATGAAACGGATGCGTTTAATAGTGCGCCTTATATAATTTATTTAACAGGAACAATTGAACTGGTAAATGCATGATGATAAGATCAAATTAGGCAGGGCGTCTTTAAGTCTCGAGTTGAACAAGGGTTTGCTATTAAAAGGTAAAGACGGATGTCCTGAAGTAAAATGTTCTATTAAATTTTGAGGGAGTTGTGGAGATTTGGAATTATTTCAAGTTGTTATTCATCGTAGACTGACATCAGTTGGAGGAACAAAGGAAACCTGGGAGTACTGGACAGCTGTTTCGTCCTAACAGCTAACACAAGTTGGAAATATGGAGCATTGGATTCTGATCCAGTGGCTCAATGGTAATGCGCTGGCCGCGGAACCTGAAGGTGGCGGGTTCGATCCCTGCTGGTGGGGTGGTGGGTGCGCACAGCTGAGGAGTCCCATACTAGGACAATGAAACAGCTGTCCAGTGCTCCCAGGTTTCCTTTGTTCCCCCACCAACTGATGTCAGTCTACGATGAATAACAACTTGAAATAAAATGTTCTGTTTTATTCCTCTGGATATATGTTGTGATAAAATTTCACTCGGGGTATCTTCTTTAAACTACAGACACTAGTTTATTCGTGTTTTTGAGCACTATGAGCTATATTTACTTATTTAAACTTCTCAAGATATCCGTTTTCCCTTAAAATATCCTGATAGGACTTGCAATTCTTTCTCAACATTCATTGGTACAAAGTTGACGAAGTCTGTATACTATACTTTGGTTGTCTTCCTACGTATACTTCATTTCAAGGTATCGTCTACTTTTCTTTTCAATAGGACATTAGGGAGATGAAGAGAA